CTAAGTTGTTCAACTCCATGTAGGTCGAGAGGATTTTGAGTCTATATGATGCAGACCCAAAAATATGAGAACAAGTATGTTAAGGACCTAAGGTCCATTTGATCTCCATGGTTAAAGCACGATTTCTTACATGTTACTAGAGAGTAATGATAAGCTGACTGCTAAATGGCCCAAATCTGTTAATTTTCTTCCTAAGGGATTTAAGCTGTGGTAAACATGATCAATGATTTGGATTTGTAATTTAGACAAGGCCCACCATAATATCTGTGTATCTTTCCCGCTGTATAGGATGATCCTGCTTGATGCCCGTTGTTCTTAACAATATGTTGATCCTTCGAAAAACATATAGCCTTTTAACAATTAACCAAGATTTATGAGAAATTTTATGGTTGCTAGACTGGTATTTTCTGTTTTTTCACAGAGATGTACACTCTTTTGATATCCATGGGATCTGGGTCTTCTTAAAAGTGAAATTTCTTTATTTTTTAAAAAAATCTTTATTGTAGTTATGAATCTTATGATCAAATCTAATCTCTTGAACTTGTGGTTGATTTGGCTTTGCAGATGGATGGAGAGAAGGAGAAGAAAATAGAGAGCAAGTTTGAAACTGGTAATGCCAATGGTGAAACTGATGCCTTTTCTGAGTATGCCGATATATCTGATGTGGATGATGGAAATGAGACTGGAAATTTTGAAGATGGAGGTTATGAACAAGTCAGTTATGTTCCTGAATATGATCATTTTGGTGAAGAAGATGGAAGCTATGGGTATGATTTGGATTTTGTGGAAGTATGATCTCTTTCTTCGTCAAGCCATTTCAAGGTTGCCTCCTTATGATCTATTTGTTTGCAGTTATCTATAGATTTGAATTGGCACTTCCCCGTTGTAACTTAAGTCTCTTTATCAATGAAGCCAGACATTGATAAAGGATACAAGAGTACCTGATTTATTATTTGAGCTCGTATGTACACTGCTCTTTTTCTTGTTTCTTGCCCTCTGGGTCTAGTTGGAAAATTTTGATCCAACATCGTCATAATGTTATTGTCTCAGTTTTTGTAATTCATTTTCCTTAATAATTATGTGATTTTAGCGCTAGTAGAAACAAGGGGAGACTACCTTGTAAATTCAAAATTTAGATCTTATTGTTTTAAATAACAAATATCTGGATTTTATAGAGCAAATTCTCTGCTATTTTAGTGAATCATGGTCACGTTTTATTGGGCAGGTCGTTAAATCTTATGGTGAAATTTTCCTTTAAGATGTGGCCAAAGAGCTGACGGTGTGCTCCTGACTTCTATACCTAAGATTGAGTCAAAAGTCCTGTGATTGTATTGACTTTCTTAGAACACAAGAGGAGACTCCTTTATTTGATGTAAATTTTGATGGAAACATGTGGTATCTTCATTGGATTGATGTAGAGGATTCTGACTTGATACGTGATAAAAGAACAAGGATTTGCTATGTTTGGCTCTGAGAAGAATTTTCTGTGACTATCACAGCTTAAGGCTGGAATAAATTTTGGTGTTACAGGAATTCAGTAGTTTGCAGCCGGTTGTGTTGAAGCTTTGGAGGACAAATTTTCAAAACCAACCGTTTTAGGAATTTAATTGCAAAAAACGACCGCTTTCGATAATAATTGTAAAAACCGACCTGTTTTCAGCCCAGCGCTGAAAACAGGTCGGTTTTTGTAAAAAATTCTTCGAAACATCACGGGAGTTCAACTCCCGTGAAGTTTATGGAGAAATTAAACTTCACGGGAGTTGAACTCCCGTGAAGCTTAATTTGTGCTTCGCCGCTTCCCAGTTCCGTCGCCACCCCAGCCTCCAACCGCCGCCGCCCCAGCCTCCGACCCCCGCCAGTGCCCCAGATCCCGACCGCCGCCGCCGGCGCCGCCTCCGACCACCGCCTCCCTTCAGATCTCAGTCAGATTTTCAAAAAAAAAGGTAAATTCTTTCTAAAAAAGCTATACCATCTAATTTTTGTATTCTCCCACTATTTGATTGTGATTACATGTAGAAATCTAGATTTTAGAATTTAATTGTGAATTGTTTACGAATTTTGTGAAGAAATGTGAAAATTAGATTGGAAATTATCAATAAATGTGAAAATTAAAGGGAAAATTATCAATAAATGTGAAAATTAGAAGGAAAATTATCAATAAATGTGAAAAATAGAGGGAAAATTATCAATGGGGAAATTATCAATAATTTTTGTGAAATTTGTGAAGAATTAGTGTGTAATTTATCAATAATTTTGTGAAATTAGAGGGGAAATTATCAATAATTTCGAAAATTATTGTATTTAGAGTTTAGAATTTAATTGTGAATTATTTAGATTTTGTGAAGAAAAATTAGATTTTAGATTTTTGCATATGTATGATATAAATTAGATTTTAGAATTTAATTGTGAATTATTTACGAATTTTGTGAAGATGTATTAAATAATTTTGTGTATTTAGAGGTGAAATTATCAATTAATGTGGAAATTAGAGTTACTACCTAAATGTAAAAATTAGTAACAATCAATATTTATTTGGCTTTTCGTGTAATATTGATATTGAATTTTTCACTCTTCAGAGGTAACGATGAACGATCGAATTGTAATTCTCTGTTCTTATGATGGGAATATTAATTACCTCGAGAATAATATGCCCGTTTATGAAGGAGGAACGAAGAGACCGTTGTTCATAACAAAATCGTGTACTTTCGATGAGTTGGTTAATGAATTACACAAACTTACATTAACTAATTCACGTGAGTATCACCTCAGTGTGGTTTGCAATTATCCTGTTGTGGGGAACAGAACAAGTGGCATTCAAATATCAAGTGACTACGATATGGGTCTCATTCATGTCTTACACGACGAGAAGCGTTCGGTCGAATTGTTCATTGAAAAACATCAGAGAGATTTGGGCAAATCGTTGAACTACGAAGGAATGTATTCCCGCATGTTGGAGGATCATGAAGTTGATTCTGTAGACTTTTTATCTCCTCAACAAGATGAATGTTGGACACAATCACAATACATGAGCGGTCCTTCGTTCGTGGGCACTTCGAATGCTTTCGATACTAACACGGGAATTCAAGAAGATAATGCAAGTGTTGAATCCGAGAATGATGATGAAGAGGAGGGATTACAAATTAATAGCATGACCTTGATAGATCGTGATGACAGGGAAAACCAACACATCGACGGGGCTTATGTTAATAATGAGTATGTCGGCTTAGAGGATCCGCTGCCCGATGAACTTCAAGGAGATGAATGGATTGATAACTCCGCGATGGAAAGTGTTCCTATTGGCACTAATAGCGGTGTTGATACACAGGCCGAGGACTTCTCATTCATCAAGGGAGATCTTTACGAGAGTAAGGAGAAATTGATCCATGCTATTCGCACGTATTCCATTGCAAAAAATGTGAAGTTCAGGCCTACCAAAAATAATTGTGCTGGAGAAATGTGCTGGAGGATTTTGGTGTATGCGGCGCACTATCGTGGGGCAGTGCGGTGTTGGCATATTTATATCGAGAATTGAGTAGAGTATCTCTGATGCAGAATAAAGAATTCAAGGAATACTGTACGTTGATACAGATTTGGTCATGGGAGCGCATTCATATTGGACGACCCACTTTACTTATGCACCGTGACTTAGAGGGGTAGTATCCGTTGGCATACAGGTATAATTGTACACACACATATTTCATTCGTAACCTGAATATTTGTACTTATATATTCGCTATTCTGCATATAGGTATAACGTGCGATACGCTCAGTACAAATCAGCGACGCGTCACCGTCAGTTTTACCGAAATGAGCTTGATGGCCTCCAGCATGAACAGGTAAATATAAAACTCAAGAAGTATGAATATTATAGTTTTTCTGTATGATACTGATAAATGTTTTATTTTATTTCAGTTCAAGTGGAGACCCTATACACCGCCGGAGCTCGATATACATTCTCTTGCACCTATCTGCCGAGATAGTCCCGACTTGTGGAGAGCCAGAGTTCCATTGATCTGTTGGGAGATCGTAGAGATGCATGTACCGGACCGTGTGCTACGGCAGTTTACACTCTCTCAGCATATTCCAGATCCTGTCGAGCAGATCAATCGTCGGCGGCGCCCTACATCGCACCGGACTGACTGGGCCGTAGTCCGTGCGGCCTACATAGACAGGTGGGTTCAGAGGTGGGATTGCATACAGGATACGAGGCCCATAGCTATTGACTATACCGTGTATATGCATTGGTATTGGGGTATCACACGTAGATGGATCACGCGTGACCCACAGCCTTTAGCTGGACACATGCCACGCCCACCGACAGATAGTTACATCCCTAGTGGGATGAACGAGAGAGATTACGTAAGTTTCTAAGCTAAATTATAATATTTTTTATTGAGTTGATACTTAATAAATTGTTTACCACGCAGGTCCGTGTTTTAGATAGCATTGATGCTGATATTGATGCGCACGTGACTGAGATTCAGGATCAGGTGGCGTTAGGTCTCCTCAGCAGGATCAAGAAGAGCATAGCGCAGGTGTTCCATAAGACTCACGTCGACGAGTTCGCAGGCCGTGAGGACAGGTCTCGCTCATTTGGACGGGCGTACGCTCGACGTCGACGGCCGCGTGATGATGACGCCGGCACTTCGCATGCCGATGGAGCCGGCACTTGGACAAATTTTCAAAACCAACCCTTTTAGCATTTTATTTGCAAAAAACGACCTATTTTGAAAATAATTACAAAAACCGACCTGTTTTCAGCCCAGCGCTGAAAACAGGTCGGTTTTTGTAAAAAAGTCTCCGAAACATCACGGGAGTTCAACTCCCGTGAAGTTTATCGAGAAATTAAACTTCACGGGAGTTGAACTCCCGTGAAGCTTAATTTTGCTTAAAACTCCACGGGAGTTCAACTCCCGTGGAGTTACAGTCGAAAATTTCCAGCGAACCGAGTCTCTGGCAAATTGTGACTGCAACTTCACGGGAGTTGAAATCCCGTGAAGTTGCAGTCACAATTTGCCAGAGACTTGATTCTCTGGAATGGTTGACTGTAACTCCACGGGAGTTCAACTCCCGTGGAGTTTTAAGTGGAAATTAAACTTCACGGGAGTTCAACTCCCGTGTAGTTTAATTTCTCAATAAACTTCACGGGAGTTCAACTCCCGTGATGTTTCGGAGAATTTTTTACAAAAACCGACCTGTTTTCAGCGCTAGGCTGAAAACAGGTCGGTTTTTGCAATTATTATCGAAAACGGTCATTTTTTGCAATTAAATTCCTAAAACGGTTGGTTTTGAAAATTTGTCCAAGCTTTGGAAGAAGAATCTGCAACAAGAATGTAGGAGAAGGATCGAATTCAGTCCACTATAAGCACAATGCTGGAACTTCACTTGAAAAAAAATATTCAAGATTGAGGAGATCATCTCATACTTCTTTAAAATGAAGAAATGGTTGGCTTGAATGAATTTGACGTGCATGAGAGGCTAAATGTTGTGCCTGAAGATAACGAGTGCATCTTAGGGCCTGTTTGTTTCATTTCCCCCAGAATCCAAAACTCACTTTCCTTCACTTTTTCATATTCCCCCACTTTCTTTAACTCACTTTCTTTCACTTTCTCCACTTTTCCCCAATAATATTGTGACAACTCATCCCATCACATCTTATTTCTTACTTTTAAAAATAAACTAAACATAAGAAATGAGTCACATCAATCAACTCATCTAACTCACCTCACCAAACTTTCCTTCATTTTCTACTATCTTTAAAAATTACTCATCATCAATAATATGGTGACAACTCATCACATCTCATTAAAATTTCCTTCCATCCATTTTCTCCAAAAAAACAAGAAAAATTAATTTTCCTAAGTATGGGTCACATCATCCAATAATATAATGATAACTCATTTTCTCTCATTTATTTTCTTAGTTTTAAGAATGAACCAAACACAAGAAAGAACAAAAAAATAAAGAAAGTGGAGGAAAACATCAAAAATTACCCATCTCATCCAATAATATGGTGACAACTCATTTTCTCCCTCACTTTCTTTCCGAATTTTGACGAACCAAATAATATGGTGACAACTCATTTTCTCCCTCACTTTCTTTCCGAATTTTGACGAACCAAACATCAAAAAGTAGAGAAAAACATCAAAAACTTTCTTTCCGAATTTTGACGAACCAAACA